CCCCCCCCCCCCTCCCCCAATTAGCAGCCTAGCTACGGCCCTGTAGGTAAGGTTTCTTTAACCTGCATTACAGCCTGACTGTCCTTCTCTCCGGGACAGTCAGACTGTAAACAAAGGCTAGGGCTTCTTTTGATATTTATATTATGAGAGGGTCTTGTGTCATATGATAAATAATGTTTGATATTGTGATAAACACAAAGTAATAAATGACATGTTCAGTCGTTAGGAGATTAACAAGCTATAAAAAACAAAACAGCAAATTTGTATTGCTCTGAGTGATTGTGTTCCATGTTGCCTACGCTTTCACTGCTTAATTCGACATAAGTAAATGTACAAACACAGGTTTTGATAATTCCTCATAAGAATGCTCAGCTGCTGAGTACCTGTGTTGTCTTCTTTTTCATTTCATTTGAATATTTATGTGGAATATGCTTAACAACCACAGATTTGAAATTTTGCATGGCAGGTATTTTGTCCACAAGTACTCTGGCAAACAGAGGAATGAAATCATGAAGAAGGTGTTGATTATCGTGGAATGAGGGAAGAAATTCTTTGCTCTCCATTTTCATTATTGATTTAATAGGTCTTAGATTGTCTAATGCATTTCCTGTTACCCGATCTTGAACAGCGTTCATAGCAAACCAATGGATAATCTTGTTTTGTTTTTCACTTGACATGTGTTTTGTTTTTACATAGAGGTCAGTATTATCTCCAACGATCTGATACAAGGGTGGTGTATCAAGTTCTAATTTTCTTCTTAAAGTTGAGACATCAGAACCATCTAGCCCATCTTTCCCTATTTCTTTTGCAAGATTTGCCAATTTGATAAATGATAAAATTGAAAATCCGGGAGCATTTTCATCTAGCCATTTTTTGAAGTTTTGCTTGTGTGTCTCACCTGATAATGTAATTAAATTTAAACTTTCACTTTGACGGATAAGAGGAAGTGTATCTGCTTCGATTGGTAGATTCTCAAGATAAAAAAGTTCACATTCACTCTCAGAAGACAAGGAATTTTCATTATGATCCTTATTGCATGCTTCATGATCAACTTGCACTAATTGAGGCTCCGTTTTCGTAAATGGAAATGATAAATTATGTGGTGAAACATTTATTGTCTGGAACCCTTTTGGCACAAATTCTTGATTGATGACCTCATTTTCTTCTATATACTCTTCACATTTGGACAGAATATCACACAGTGATCCATGACTTTCAATTTTCTCTTTCCATTCGAGCACAGGTTTATCAAACTCCTTGCCCATGTCATCAAGTTTCTTCAAAGTACTTGAATGGACCTGTTGATATGCCCCATTTCTGGCTTCTCTCATAACCTTGCAATGAAATTAATAATAATCCAATTTGATTTCCTTCTCACCTGCACGTCTTATTATTACCCTGGTTAAACCCTCTGGAACCAGGGTATTGTTTTTATCCACCCAATGCAGATCTGGGAATATGGGTTAGCTAACTGGTGTAATTTGAAATTGCATCCATGGTCATACGAAATTGCAACTTTATAAAACAATAAAAAATCTATATTGGCCTAAACAGGATTCAACTTTTAGATCTTCTGATTTCAAAAATCTCATCAAGAGAACATATTGACGTAAATTTAATTTAGTTTGCAGCATATTCACCTATTTTTTGCACCACTGTGCCAAAGCACCCCAACGGAAAACCGATAGGCTTTTGCTGACATCATTGGGCAACGCTGTTTTAGAAGAACTGCAGCTGCAGTCACTATTGCTGGAGCTGTGGATACAATGTTCTTTCTTCTTTGTTGACGTTTGTTTGTTATAGCTTCATGAAGGCATGAATACAATATACCTGCCCTTAGGTTTGTTCTTCTTCACACTTCTCATCTGAAAATGCAACTAGCTAGGTCATCAGGGTTACACTTTTGCAAGATGATGGGTTCTTAGTGCTGCACAGTGCTGACATTCACTACTCCGATTTGCTTCCTTATCTTCACCAAAATCTCTTCTCTTTGTGTTGCATGACTCCAAATGGCATTTGCAGCATATACTGATATTCTTTTAACGCTATCTTTCAAATAATCTTGGCATCGACAGAGTTCAATATATTTGATCGCACAGTTTGGCTAGGATAATGCACGTGGACCTATATTCAGAGCAAACCAAAGCGAAAGCTGGTACTACAACACTGATCATAACGAAGGGTGAATTTTGAGATTTTGCTCCGGGGTGTGTTCAAAAAGTTCAGGGGGATGCAAGTGAAGGGTGCATAATGCCACCCAAACAAGCTGGGTCATGGTCCTGGACCATGCGAAAAATTTTGAGATTTTTAGTAAGATCAAAATTCAAAATCCTTCTATTTTCTTCTAGATTTTAGAATATTGACATTGAGTAGCTCCTTAGTTTTGTTTTCAATTTGACAAATTATACGAAATAGGCAAACCGATCAGCGTTTTCTACGGTTACGTACACTTCATTGAAAGCATATATTGTACCCACAGGCACAATTGCACAAGTTTCACTACTTTCATTCATACAATTACAATAAAAAAGCTATATAATTTTCTTGAGAGGGAGTGCAAATTTCTCTTGGGAGGTGAAAAAATTTCTGGAGGGGTGAAAATCCGTCATAACTGCATATAAGTAATTAATTATTATAAGTGATTAATATAAGTAATGCATTATTATATAACATGAATAGCCTGAGTAAAAGAGCAAAGGCGCGTCTGCTTACTCAGGCTATATTTAATATGAAATCTACTATTATTAAATGTTGTCGATTGTCAAAAGTTGTTGACATCGCGAAATGCATATTTGCGTCCTCGGATAACTATTATTATTTTTTAAAACGTAGGCTGCGAAAATGAGTCTTTCTTTGAAGTGAAAAGCAAAACACAATACATTTTTTAGTCCCCGAGCCAACGGCGCGGAGCGCCGTAACGGGCGTAAGCCCGGGGCGAGGATACTAATTCCCCCCCAGCTATTTACACCTGGAGAAACGAAAGCATTAGCGAATTCTAAAGTTCATCAATGATCGCGGGCGTGGCTCACCAACGGTGTTGAGTGGGTGGTCATCCTCACTGATCTCAATAATATGGCTGATTGCTTGTAGTAGTGGGATAAGCAAGATTTCAATTTTAAAAGACATATATTTGGAAAATCGTTTCATATACAACAAGCTTGAAGCAATTTTGTTTGAAGAAATGAGAAGAATTGATTTGCTATAATTGTGAAATATACGGCAAGTTTGCTTTGAATATTTAATGCTTACGAATTTTGTTGCTTTAACTTTTTGCCCAAAAACATGAACTGTTTTCCTTTTTAACGAAGCTCTAAGTTTCATAATTTGAGAAAAAATCTTAAAATGTAAAGGAGAACAAATTGATTTGAAGACTGAACTGAAATTACCTAACAATTTGTTTTATTTGTATTAAACTTATTATGTTTTATTAAGTAAAAACAGTTTATCGGCAAACGTAGTTTAGTTGAATGAACATTTCAAAACATTTTTCGAAGCGTTTCAAGTTAAATTTTACATTAAATCAAAGCTCACAAAACCTACAGTATATATTTCGGAAATTTTGTATAGTTAAAAGTACGAATCTTTCAACTATCTTTCAGTTTAGTACCAAAAACATGACAAAATTAAAAATTTAAGAATATCGTGTTGTCATGGCAACGCTTGAGCGCGGCCTGCGTTCAGTATTGGCCAATTCTGAATACTTCATGTTAATTTAATATTTGGAAAATATTGGCGAGGGGTTACTTCATGCATGTACATGTATCTCTAGTAATATTTATACATACTCAAAATGTCGTATCGACTTTCGACTCCACTTATTTTTTATTTTCTCATTCACAAATAGAATACTTAATGTCTATACGTATTTTATTATTGTGGCATTCTATTTACCGTTTTACAAAGACCGCAATAGTTTTACCTTTTTTCCAGAAAATATAAATATTTTAAAAATAAACGATCTAATTGATACAAATATATATTTTGCCAATTTTTTATATATTTTTTCACTTCAGTTGATCGATTTGATAGACGCAAACGCTATTTGCCTTGCCGAGATACTCGAGGTTTATAATGTCAAAGTTTCTGTGATCACAGTTGGTATTTTGCACAAGTAAATCCTAAGTTTTAAAGGATTATCTTGAAATGTTTGAGGGAACGAAATAGTTAACACCGAGATACTTCACTCTTATATTTGTCACAAATCCTTCAGAACTTAGAATTTACCTACGAAAAAATCCTAATGAGTAATGTGGTCACAGAAACTTTGATAGACGTGTAAACAAGGCTTGGCCTTTTTCGCAAACCTAAACAGCATAGTGGCAAAAATAAGAAGGTCGGTTTTCAGAGAATAGATAAGTTTTTGAGATCGTAGGTTCTATTATTAAGTATAGAATAATAATCTACCTCTGTCCTTATCCAATTTTCGCCAGATACGGGCCATATTAGGTCGGGAAAGGTATTCTCGACATTGACGACCTTATTCTCTTTTGCCTCTTCTTTTGCAACGTTTGACTGTTCCAATAAATTAAGGTAGCAGTGGGCGGTAAACAGTTGCAAAATACCAGATTTAACCTTCATTTTCTCATGGTTAACTGTTTTGGGCGATTCATTCGCGCATCTCTTTTCGCGCTTTCTTTCGCTGAATGATAGTGCAACTGAGTTTTCATAAGCCTCTCGAAACGCCAACAAGTTGGCCCTTTTACTCCAGATGCTTTCTAAATTTGATAAATTCTCTATAGCGTTATTACTATTTTCAATAATTACAAACTATTTTTTTTTCTGAAAAAAAATTAAAAAATAGCAAAAAGTGCGAAGATTTCATTTTAGCAAATCGAAATACCATTTTTTTGCAGCAACTCTGCAAAAAAACAGCATTTTTATCTAAACGAGACACTATTCTGAAATTATTAATGCTAAAGGGCATATTGGCAGTATTCATACTTACATGACTGACACTGGTTTCAGATTGTCATATATAAAGATAGCAACCATTGTCAGATATCAATATAAATAAGGTAGCTGAATTTCAGACACCGAAATCGGTTTAAGTTTGTCAAAATCATATATAAATACCAACCATGCAGACTGAGATAAATTAAGTGTCTGAATTTCAGACACCGAAAACGGTTTGAGTTTGTCAAAATCATATATAAATACCAACCATGCAGACTGAGATAAATTAGATGTCTGAATTTCAGACAGCGAAAACGGTTTGAGTTTGTCAAAATCAGATATAAATACCAATCATGCAGACTGAGATAAATTAGATGTCTGAATTTCAGACACCCAAAACGGTTTAAGTTTGTCAAAATCATATATAATTACCAACCATGTAGACTGAGATAAATTAAGTGTCTGAATTTCAGACACCGAAAACGGTTTGAGCTAGTTTGTCAAAATTATATATATATGCTAAATGTACCAACTACTGTAGAGATAAATGAGGTAGCTGAAATTTTTCCGACACCGAAAACGGTTTGAGTTTGTCAAAATATATTTTCAGATATATTTTAGGTAGCTGAATTTCAGACACCGAGACTGGCCAGACTGCATGGTTTGAATTTGTAAAAATCTTATATGTAGCCTAAATACCAACCAGATATATAAATTAGCTAGCAGAATTTAAAACAGTGAAATTGGTTGGAGTTTGTCAAAATCTTAATATAATATGAACCAACCATTATATTTTGTATGAATATTCACACATGCATGCAATATAAGTGCCGTATTTGGCCTTTCCTAGCCTGCGCGCAGACTAGACTATATAATGACATATATATGTCATTATATAGTCTGCGCGCAGGCTAGGCCTAGTTTCTTGCTTTGCTATCTTTAAGATCGCTTCTCTTGCAAAGGAAAATCGAAAACATTTTGTGACATAGCTAAGCAAAGTTGTCGTTCGTTCATATATCTTCACAGTGAGAGTAGAGTCGAATACTCATAATACTCTGACTAGCCATGGCCATGGCCATGTACAGTAGCTATAATAAACAAGAAAAAATATGAATAAGGTGTCGACGCATTGTAAATAAACTTAACCCAGGGGTAATTTACTATAGTTAAATTAAGTGTAATGCATTTGAAGGTCGTGAAGGGCCTATACATGTATAGAGGTATACACACTCCACAACGTACGAATGAAATTTGATATAAAATCATTGCAATTCAAGTTTTAAGAGAAAACGCTCCTGTATGATTCAGAGCTAGGTTTTGTTGGTAGTCAAGGACTATTAAAGTAATAATATAGCTAATATTATATATATATATATACATTGTAAGTAAGTGCGGTACACTAGCTATAATTAATATCAGTGCAAACCGCAAATGATCT